ATGGCCTCTGCTCCCAGGATGTGTGTGGTCGTATGAGACACTAAACGAACATCACGTATACATGTGCCAAACATGATCAAGCATGCAGCACCCACCTAAATTAAACGTGGGGTGGGTGTGAGTGCAGAAAGGAAAGGCCTTTCTGAGCAAGAGGCACTGAAGCAGGAACCTGAAGCATTCAAGAGCTGAGGGAAGACCAGACAGAAGAAGCATCTGTGAGGACGGGGAGGCCAGACGGAGCCTGGGTTGTCGAGGAACAAATCCGGTGTGGTTGGAGCTCAACAAGAGAAGGGAAATGGGGTGCAAGGTGAGACTGAAGGGACGCTGGGGCACGTCCTGTAGGGCCAAGTGGCCACAGTAAGGAGTTTTGAGTTGACAGTCTCAGGAGTTAAGAGAAGTGACACTGAGCTAACGTTTTCATGGAGATAATGGTGGGCAAGGATGGAAGTGAGAGGCCAACTGGAAGGCTACCCAAGCGGCTCAGTGAGGCGGGCTCGTACTGAGATGGTGGTAGTGGCAGCAGAGAGAAACTAATGAGGTCAGGATATATTTTTGGGGGGAAAAAAATCAATAGAACTCACTACCAGATTTCATGTGCGGAGGGAGGGACTAGAAAGGATGACCGGTTTCTGGCTAAATGGCTTGGTGGAGGGAAGGGTTATTCAATGAGAACGAGGTTATAGAAAGAAAAGCTTTGGAGGGGAAGATTCCGATTTCAGTTTGGAAATATTAAATTTACCCAAAGGCACACCGAAGGAGATGCTAGGCAGGAGTCTGAAATGCACCATTCCGAAGCTCAGCGGCAGGCGTGACCTAGATGTCCACAGTGGGGGTTGAACCTACAGATGGGATTGAAGGCCACGGGCAGCATGGGCTCCCCTTGGGGGAGAGGACTGGCAATGAGAAAGGGGTCCATGAGAGGTCCTGAAGCACCACCACCTTTCAAGACTGGGAGGGCAGAGCATGTGGGGAAGGAGAAGGAATGACAGAGGTGGAACGAGAACCAGGAGAGGTGAGCTCTCCACAAGCTAGAGAGAAGGCTTTACAGGGAGGAAGATCAAGAGTCAAATGTTCCTTAGCAATCAAATTAAGAGATGTAGGAAAGTGGCTGCTGACTTTGGCAATGAGGGCATTATTGGTGGCCCAAAAGCAGTTTTGCTGAAGTGTGGGGGGTGCGGGGCGGGGGGTGGAGGCAGAGTGGAGTGTGTTGAAAAGTGAGAAGAAAGAAGCCCTTCCTAAAATACTGAAAAGAAACAAAAATAAATGAATCTACTAAACGTAGATCAAGTTGGTCACAGAGCCATAAACGAAAGAAAAAAGTTGGGGGGGGGCGTGTGGGTGGCTCAGTCGGTTAAGCATCTGCCTTTGGCTCAGTCATGATCCCAGGGTCCTGGGATCGAGCCCTGCATCGGGCTCCTTACTCAGTAGGGAGCCTGCTTCTCCCTCTGCTGCTCCCCGCCCCCCGCTTGTGCCCTCTCTCTCTCTCTCTGTCAAATAAACCAATAAAATCTTTTTTAAAAATTAAAAAAAAAAAAGAAAAAGTAAAGAATTTTTTAGGTGGCTTGACGCGTAGCATTTGATTGTAATTATTTACTCGTTTATCCTAAAGACAAAAAAGAACAGCAAAGAAATCTTCAATCATATTCATTAACCTTTAGTGATAACACTTTTATTTAAATACCTATATGTGTATATTTAGGATAAAGCAAAGAAGTAATTGTTAATGTTGTGAGAAGATAAAATTTTCAGTGAAAGAGATGTCTCATACTTTAAAAATATAAGCCTAATATCTTAATTTCAATTGGAAATATCAACATGAGCCCATGATTTATTTTCATTTTCTAAAGAACACATATTTCCTAGATGTGTCTGCTGAGCCTGGAAACCTAAAATAAGAAAAAAACCTCAGGAGCAATGGCATTCCACTGTTCAGATTATAGCCTTTAAATAGCATTTCCCCTTAGAAGGAGCTAGGGCTCCTGAATGGTTGATTCAATCTTGCCATTCTAGAAATCAAGGAAGAAACCCAAGACTACTGCTCATGTCAGAAAGACACAGGAGCCAAAATTAAAAGACTCCCATTGGCAGGGCGCCTGGGTGGCTCAGTTGGTTAAGCGACTGCCTTCGGCTCAGGTCATGATCCTGGAGTCCCTGGATCGGGTCCCATATCGGGCTCCCTGCTCGGCGGGGAGTCTGCTTCTCCCTCTGACCCTCCCCCCTCTCATGTGCTCTCTCTCATTCTCAAATGAATAAATAAAATCTTTAAAAAAAATAATAAATAAAAATAAATAAATAAATAAATAAATAAATAAATAAATAAATAAATAAAAGACTCCCATTGGCCTCAAATATGTGTGGGGGAAGAAAAGGAGGACAAGGGGTATATAGGAAATCTGTACCTTTCGCTCAATTTTGGTGTGAACCTAAAACTACCCTAAAAATTAGACTGTATTTAAAAAAAATTTTTTTTTTTAAGATTTTATTTATTTATTTGACAGAGAGAGACACAGTGAGAGAGGGAACACAAGCAAGGGGAGTGGGAGAGGGAGAAGCAGGCTTCCCGCAGAGGAGAGAGCCCGATATGGGACTCGATCCCAGGACCCTGGGACCATGACCTGAGCCGAAGGCAGTTGCTTAACAACTGAGCCACCCAGGCGCCCTAAAAAAAATTTTTTTTAAGACTCCCTTTGGCCAGGGGCACCTGGGCAGCTCAGTTGGTTAAGTGCCCGACTCTTGATTTCAGCTCAGGGCATGATCCCAGGGGGATGAGATCGCCAGAGAGGAGCCCCTGTTGGACTTCCCGCTCAGCAGGTAGTTGGCTTCTCTCCCTCTCCCTCTGCCCCTCCCCTCACTCATGCAAGTGCGCATGCCTATGCGCTCTTTTAACTCTCTAAAATAAATAAATAAATCTTAAAAAAAAAAAAAAAGCCTCCCTTTGGCAAGGGATGGGACAATTTGAGTATGAAAAGAATAATGACAATGGAATGAAACTCATCAAATCTACAGAATTCCTTGAGATCATATGAAACTAACAACAGCAAAATATCAGGTTTCCACTGAAGGCTACTAAAGCACTAAACTCATTCTAAAACTTGGCCAATAAAGGGGAAGAATCAAGCCTTCACCCTGCTTTTCCTGAACAAACTAATGAAATATCAGGGGAAAGACTGTTGGGGAACTTTATAGCAGATCCATCTCTCATCAATAAAAGTGGGAAATCACAGGCCTCTAGTGATAAAATCGTTAAGTACACGGCCCTGCCCCCAAGGCTGATCCTGCACTTAATCCTGCCTCTAGGTCTGACAATCTCTCCATAGGAAATGGGGGAGACAAAGAGGAAAATTCAATGACAGCAAGAAGCACCAATCTGCCAAATCCAAAGGTTCAGTCTTTTTACAAGACAAACGGCCTTGTTTCTTCAATGGCATTTCACAGAGGGGAGCTATTATAAAGTTTTCAAAACTCAAGAGAGATAACCAGGAGCAAGCTTCCCATAACAAATGAAATTCTAAACGAATGATATAGGTGGGGAGTGAGAGACAACATGTGTGGGTTTGTTACTTTGTTTTCGGTTTTGAGACATTTTGCTGAGCAGAGAAACGGCCCTTGCTACAGAGGGGCATGGCGTCAGGGAGAACATTTGACCAGTGGAACAGAGTGAGCCTTTGGGAGCACCAGCGGGAATGATTAGGGCACAAGAAGGGAATGTCGTTGGGGTGAGGTCCTCCAAGAGACACAGTGAGAAGGAGCCCAGTCCCTGTGGAAGGAACAGCCCCTGGGTAAGATGTGCTTACATCATATACTCTCCTAATAAAAAACACGTGTAGAAATATTAAGCTGATGGCACAGATCTGAAAAAGAAGCTAAGTGAACCTAGGCGTTTAGGAGGGAGAAAGGTATACTGGAGATGTGATGGATTTATAGCACAGTGAAAGCTGACATGCTGGGTCAAATTTTCAACATGGCTCTGACTTTTGTTATTCCGGTGGATATTCTATGTTTACAAGATTCTTTTGTTTATAGCTCTCTTTACTACGGTATTTCAAAGAATTCCAGCTCATTAAAAGCCATTTGGTGCAAATAATTAGTATACTCTTTTCACCCAAACCAGCCTTCATTATGTTAAAACTTCTGTACCCTCACAGGCAAAAGGAGATAGTGGTCACCTCATTCTCCATAGGCCTTCAGGGGTTGTGAATATTGGACTCTCATTTTTCCAGTTGGCCCGTAATCAGAAAAGTGGCTTTGCTGCAAGCAGTAATTACCTTCCAGTGTGTTCCCAATCCTATTATTAACCACGCCGCGACCACGTGAACCCTGAAAGATGGAGCTGCAAATGCTGTCGTGCTCTAAACCCATCAGTTTTGACTCTTCGGAGAAGGAAAGGGAGCAAACACTTGTTTTTTTTGTTTTTACTTTCTCTCATTTTTGTTTCTCCTGATGAGGAAGTCTTCACCTCACATCGTCAGTCATATGGTCTCGGAAAACCTGAGAGGTACGGCTAAAGGTTTAGCCACCAAATCTCTGGAATTTATTGCATTCTTCCATTTCTCCTTAAAGGAAATAGTTAAAAAAAAATTTTTTTTGACAGGAAGTAGGTTTTATTGGTGGGCATGAATAGGGAGGGGGCAGTGCCGAGGTTCTCATGAATGCAGAGCCCTCCATTTGTCCAAGGGGCCACGATTAGGGATGTATTTGACCCCACAGCCATCTGGGATAAGCCGCTTTTCAGCCACCATGTCTTCAAATTCATCCGCATTAAACTTAGTAAAGTCCCACTTCTTGGAGATGTGGATCTTCTGGCGGCCAGGGAACTTGAACTTGGCCCTGCATAGGGCCTCAGTCACATGCTCCTTGTTCTGCAGCTTGGTATGGATGGACATGATGACTTGGCCAATGTGGACCAATGTGCCCTGGGGCTTTCCAAAGGCACTCTGCATACCTCTCAGCAGCCTAGATTGGAGATAGCATGAGGTCAGACCTCAATATCCACTGGAAAGGGCTGTCTTCAAGGTCCCGTAGGGCAACCCATACAATCAACAGGCTGCATACACTACCAAGGAGGCTACTGTTTGCAACCATGGCACACTGGGCCCCCAAGGACAAAGAGAGGAAATAGTTAAAAATTTAACCTCTTTGTCCATAACCACGTTCATAGATAATTTTATGTGGGTACGCACGGTCACATGTGTGCTTTGGGAAGAGGGGTGGCCAGTTTTTCCTTTCTGTGTTTTTGTTTTGCTAAGCTCCAGCCACTTCCTCTCTTCCTCCTTTTCCCCAGCTGAGCACCCAAGGCCATCTATGCTGAGAAGCTGGGATGTATCCTCCCGTGTTTTCTCCTTACTCAGGTATTCCTCGACCCACACCTAGGCATGTATCTACTTAGAAAGGCATGCATTTCTTATTTTATTTATTTTATTTATTTTTTATTTTTATTTTTTTAAAGATTTTATTTATTTGACAGAGAGAGCACAAGCAGAGGGAGAGAGAGGGAGAAGCAGACTCCCTGCTGAGCAAGGAGCCCAATGTGGGACTCAATCCTAGGGTCCTGGGATCATGACCCGGGCCGAAGGCAGCCGCTTAACTGACTGAGCCACCCAGCCGTCCCAAGGCACGCATTTTTTAAAGCACTGTCTTTTTTTTTTTTTTTTTTTTTTAAGATTTTATTTATTTATTTGACAGAGAGAGACACAGCGAGAAAGGGAACACCAGCAGAGGGAGCGGGAGAGGGAGAAGCAGGCCTCCCGCCGAGCAGGAAGCCCGATGTGGGGCTCGATCCCAGGACCCTGGGACCATGACCCGAGCCGAAGGCAGACGCCTAACGACTGAGCCACCCAGGCGCCCCTAAAGCACTGTCTTATAAACAGGTGGCCATAGCGTCCTTTGCATCCTAGGCTCACCATTGCACAACACCTTGCAGGGACCCCTCCTAGTTAGTCCTCTGGTTTAGCTCCACTTCATTCTCTTAGTAAATGGAGGGAGAATTCCCCAGTGTGGAGGTGCTACTGATGAGCCTTCACTTTGTGCTCAGGTTTTTGCCCTATGAAGCCATACAATGAACCTACTTGTTTATCCTCGTGGTCTCGAAGAACCCATAGCCTTACATAGGGTCATCCGTATTTGATAGGGTTTTAGGAGCACAGCTGCCAATTAATTCATTTATTGAATTTTTATTAATTTATTAATTTATTAATTTATTATTTATTAGGTGCCCCTAATTTCTACTATAGGAAAAAAATATGTATTTCACATAAAGAAAAGCTCTTGGGGGTCCTCAATACTTTTTTAGTGTTTTAACTGAGATTTAATTCACATACCAAAGAATTCACCTTTTTAAAGTATATAATTCAGTAGGTTTTAGTATTTTTACAAGGTTGGGCAACGATCACCACTAGCTAATTCCAGAACATTCATATCACCCTAAAAAAGAAACTCCATATCCGTTACCAGTCAGTCTCAATTCTTCCCCCTCCTCATCCTCTTTTGGACTCTGACTTGTTTGTTCTGAACATGTGATATACATGGAATCTTCTGTGTCTGGCTTATTTCACTTAGCATACTGTCTTTAGGACTCATCCACATCGTAGCAGGTGCCAGAACCTCATTACTTTTTGTACCTAATATTCCACTGTATGTATATACCACATTTTGTGTATTCGTTCATCAGTTGATGGACTTTGGGGTTGTTTCCACTTTTGGCTAGTATGAATAATGCTACTAAGAACATTTGTGTCCAAGTTTTTGTATGAATACATGTTTTTAGTTCCCTGGGCTCTATACCTAGGGCCAGAATTGCTGAGTCTGACTCTGTGTTACGCTATGCTTAACTTTTTGAGAAACTGTCAAACTGTTTCCCACAGTAGTGGCACCATTTTAGATTTCAACCACCTATGTATAGGCGTTCCAGTTCTCACAGCTTTTCCAAAATTCGTTATTTTCAGCGTTCTTGATGCTAGACATCCTTGGGAGTATGACTCAGTAATTTTTAGAAGTGTAAAGAGTTTTGAGACTAGAAGTTTTGAGAGTTGCTTTTCTGACATAGAGCTTATAAAAATAAACATAATAATGTCAATCTAAAAATTAACAATAATTCCACACGATTGTGCAACCTCAGGGTAATCAAGTTGGCCCGGACAGACCCAATTTACACCTTTGTAGCCTTTAACTTTCAACATGCCCCGTTTAGATGACAGATTATATGAACACCCTAATAATGAGTCAATGTTCAAATTTCTCCCAGGTGCCTTCAGTATGTCTTTTTCCAACGTATTGAGAACAAGATCCGACACTGCATTTGGTTGAGATGTCTTTAAAAACTTTTAATCTCTATCAGTTCTCCCTCGACTCCATTTCTTTCATGCTCGTCATCGATTGAAGAAACCGGGTAATTTGTGGAACTTCCCACATCCTGATTCGACTGATTAAACCATTGTCGTCTCTTTTCATCTGTTTCTTTGTCCTCCACGTTTCTTGCCATTTGGTAGTTAGATCTGGAAGTTTGATTAGATGAAGATTCAATGTTTGTGCAAGAATATTTCGTAGACGCTGTGTACTTCCTATTGCAACAGGAGGCATGTGCTATCTGTCTGTCTCACTCAGTGATGTTAAGATATATCAGTGGGTTCAGGGTTTTTAGTTTGATTCAGCCAATATAGGTTTCCCACCAACATATTTTAATTTTTATTTTTAAGTAATCTCTATGCCCAAAATGGGGCTTGAACTTAGCACCCTGAGATCAAGAGTCCCATGCTCTACCCACTCATTGAGCCAGCCAGGTGCCCCCCACCTCATACTTTTATTTCTTTTAAAGATTTTATTTATTTATTTGTCAGTGAGAGAGAGAGAGAGCGCACAAGCAGGGGGAGCGGCAGGCAGAGGGAAAAGCAGGCTCACCATCGAGCCGAAGGCAGACACACTCAACTCCCTGAGCCAGCCAGGTGCCCCCGACCTCATACTTTTAATAGCTATTGTTGCTTGTCCCAGTGTTTCTTTATGAGTTGTGAGGAGTGACTCTCTAAGTCCAACTGTTCTGTTGCATTTATTTTCCTTACAAACTATTTGGGTATCCTGAAATGATAGCAGAATAAATGCTTGATTTTTTCCCCTTATTTACCAGTTTTCCAAACAAATAGTTCCTTAGACAATACAAGAGTAAACAATGAGGGATTTTAAAAAATATTACTATGCATTCATGGATTTGTATACATTTGATATGTTTCAATCAATCAGTCATTATTCTTTCTTCAGCCCGAACTGTTCCATCTTTAGCCCAAGGGTGCCCCTTTATCTTTGCTCTTGGGCTCTTTTGACATAACCCCAGTAGTATTTATAGCCACTTTATTCTGGGGCATAACAAAATGCCACAGGCTCATCTTTACACAATCCCTGCCCCAGTTCTGAAATCAGTCATCTCCTAGAGGGGTCTTTGTTCCTCTTGGTGGGCAACGGCATTTAGATGATCAGTTTGGACACTAGGGGTGCTCATGGGCAATGGATTGCCATTGCTTCTTGGCCTTTTCAGTGGACACAGCTAACATATATGTATTTTGTAGAAAGAGAAAAATTAATTATGACTCATACTACCTTTGCTGATTCAAATTTTCCATTATACAACTTATCCCTAACATCATTGACTTGATACTTGTATCCCTTCATCTCTCACTGAAGACCTTGGTATCTAACAATATCAATTCAATTACTTATTTACTATTTTACTTAAACATATAGATGTAAAGTACAAATACATGCAATAGCAGCTAAACAACAATACCAGTATTATTACTAACAGATACTATTAGTAAGTGTAGTTTGATTTCTTTGCCATTCTTTTTTATCCTGAGGATGTGTCACCCTCAGGATATATAGTCAAAATAATGAGTTTTAAAGTCAGTTACTTATTTTTCCAGGTAGTTATGTCAGTAACTCCTGATACACTCTGATTAGTGGCTTTTTTTTTTCTTTTGGAAAATGCTTTATTTTCTTTTAAAAAAATAATCATGTAAGCCATTTACATGATTCCAAAGTCAAACTATAAAACACAGTATATGAAAACAAGCCTAGTTTCCACTCCCATTCCCTTCACTCTGTTTTTTCCTTATATGTAACCATTTTTATTAGTTTGTGATTTACAGTTGCATTGCCTTTTCTTGAAAATGTAAGCAAAAGCACACATCTTTGTTAGAAGAAAGGCAATGTATATGTGGTTCCAGCCTTGCTTTTTTCACTCGATGTATCCTGGAGTTCTGTGGCCTTCCACAGAGACGGGCTTCATTCTTTGGTAAAGCTATACAGAACAGCTTTGTGTGGATGTACCCTGGTTTATTCAGCCAGTCTTCTGTGGATAGACTTGTGGGTTCAACAAACATTTACTGCGTTGCTAAATCGTGCCAGGCACTGGGGATAAAGACATGGTCTCTGGCCTCAGGAAACTCACAGTGAAGGGGGGAGACCACTGCAATACAAGCGCTTTGCTCACAAGAGAGTGAGATCTTGGATCCACTCAGCACAAAGGGTGCGTGGAACAGGGCAGACAGGCTCACACACAGGAGGGACACAATGACACTCTGTTGATTGGCATCTTGCTCCCACACGGACCTTAATATGGGAGAATCCCCATGGGAGGAACTCAGTTTTGTTTTGTTTTTTTAATCAATGTTTGAAACTACTTAGAAAATCATGAGTGCCACCAATTGGTCAGAGAAGGCAAGGCCAAATGAAAGAGGCAGAGAGGAAGGGTCCCAATCACAAAACTCCCTCAAAAGAGGAAACGTAAATTAATACGTAAGCTGTGGTTTAACAATTAACGCCGGTAGTGAATTTAACACTCACCAGAGACGGCTCTAAGCTGTTGACACATACTTAACTCCTTTATTTTAAAATAACAATCCTAAGAAGTAGGGACTATCATGCCTCACATTTTACCGTTAAAGAAATTACGGCACAGAGAGGTTACTGAACTCTTCAAGGGCACACAGCGAGCGAACGAGGAAGGGAGCAAAGAAGCGCAGACGACAGGATACTCGCAAGCAGTGCCCTCTCCCCCGGGTGGGAAAAAAGCACTGTGTCTTCCCGGACCATAATCACCCGCTGCGGAGGAGAAACTACCGTTGACACCTCCCTCCCTACACCCCCCCCCCCAGATCGGAAAAACCCTGCAGGGCTCTCTCTGGACTCTTGGGGCGCGCAGGAATCCCGAGGCCCGTAGGCGACCTGCGGGGTGCACGGCGGAGGCCCAGCCGGCCCGCCCCGCAGCGCGGATTTGAGCAGCGGCCGCGAGCTGAGGGGTTGCCCGCCGAGGGTCCCCCTCGGAGCAGCAGCCGAGCCGGCTCTCCGACCCCTCCAGGTGTGCGCCGCCCATTTCTCCGCGCTCCCGCTCACGCCTGGGCAGCAATGAAGGCCGCTTCCCGGGCTCCTACGACACGGGGGAAGCTACATGCAGCCACGGACGAACTCCCAGGCATCGTTACCCTCCCATGGGGTACCCCATGTCAACTGGACACAGTTCTACACTCAGGGAACCCGCAGCGGGGGGACAAGCGGTGCCGACGTAGCATGACACGGGCAAGAACAAGGGGTCGCACTGGGCAGTGGCTCTCCGCCCCGCTCCGCCTCGTCTCGTCTGTCGAAACCGAGCCAAACACAGGTGGTTGTGGGCTGCCCAGCTCGAACCTGCAGATCGCCTCCGCCCGCCGGCTCGGGAGCTTGCTCCCGGCGCCGCCTGCCGCCCAGACCCAGTACTGCGGGGGGCTGCCCCGGAGCACCGCGCGCTCACACCCGCGGGCCCGCCTGCAGTGCGACTGCGCCGCCGCGCCTGGGTGGGGGGGGTCAGATCCCACAAGCCAAGTCCTCGTCCGACACTGGCACCTAACCTGCAGCAGCCTACGGATATGCGCTCTAAGAAGCCGACTCCTAGTTAAAAAGCTACAGCCAGCATCAAACCAGACTCTGAAACTGAACAGCCAGATACAAACAAACCGGCAAAAACTCTTCCTGCTCCTACAGACGCAACACAGCCTAAGAATAACTAAAGCCTCACTCTTTTGAGATACTCAAAAAGGACCCTCCAAGTTCACGTCAGACGGGTAATGTGCCCAGGTCGTAACAAGGTTTGAGGGAGGCACATGTCACACAACGGCGTGAACACCCAATCATCACGCTTATGAACTACAAAAGGATCGCGAGGTTGTGGCTGTTAAGGAGTCCCGAGTACGTCCCACTGACTTTAAAGAAAGGGTGACAGACTTGGGCTTTACATATTCAGTCTCACAGTAAAACTGGGTATAATTTTAAAATATCTTCGACATTTTTCTTTTGTTTCTACCTTAGTAAATGGAAACAAAAACAAAATTAGCGAGCGGATATGTCTATGCAAAATTTTCGCCCAAACTCCTCCCTTGTGGGGGAACCTGGTCTCTGTTGCTTTACGACAAGCGGGCCGTGAAACGACGAAGTGTTGCCTGAGTATTGGCGGAAGCGAGCCTTGCGCTTTGCGGCAGCGAGGCGAGCTGGGTCCGGATCCTAATAGGTACCTCCGTGCTGGAAGGTCCGGAGGCACCACCGGTGGTGGAGTTTGTGTGATGCCTTAGGGGTTTATTTCTTAAACTCTTAGGGTTTTTGTTTTTGTTTGTTTGTTTTTAATCTTCAGAAAGGCAAGAATAATTGATCTGTTGGGAGTCTGAGGCTCTGTTACTCCCGGAGAGGCTCCTTTTCCCTTTCCTGCATCTTTTTCTTTACGTAGACTTTACTCTTTTGCGGCTGAGACTCGCGCCCCCCCACCCCCACCCCACCCCCCGACGTCTTGCCGTTTTATTTGGTTTTAGTTGCGTTCTCCGGGAGAATGCCAGCCTCCGGGTGATCTTTTTTTCTCTAGCAGATCCGCACCAGCCTCCCATCTCGGCTCCCTGGAGGAGACCCGCTCATCACTGCCGCAGGCTGAGGAATGGAGCAGGACAGCCCTCGGGAATCCCCATCGCAGGAAGGATCTTCCTTGCCGGGAGAGCGGCCTTCCTCCGCCCTCGGACAGTCTTTCTCCCAGGTTTTGCATCGTCTTACCAGCCAGGAGTCCCGACGGGGCAAGGCCAGAAGTGCCGCAGTTCAGGACCTCGGTGCGCTAATAGAAGCCACAGAATGTGATCAGTTATTTGAGGGTAGTGGCACATCGCCCCGCGGAATGCCAGAGATGCTGGGGCAGGTGGCAAAAGCCCTAGAGGAGTATGCAGCCCCACCCAAGGAGCAGCAAGGTAGAGGTCATGGCCACTCTGAAGTGGCCGAGAAAGCGGCAGCCGTTGGGGTACTGTTTCTTAAACTGTTGGGGAAAATTGAGGCGGCCCAGAATTCCTTGCTTTGTCCTGCATGGAAGATAGGCGTGCGTCACTTGGCAGGACCCATCTATATTTTCGCGGTCGCACACAGCTTGGAGCAACCATGGACCAGCCCGAGATCCCATGACGTTGCTGGAGAGGTGCTCTCCTTACTCCTCCGAGTTACTCGGTGTGGTTCTGTGGCAGGATTTCTGCACGGAGAAAATGAAGATGAGAAAGGGAGATTTACTGTAATAATGGAGCTGCTCAAACCTGATCTGAATAAGTGAGTATTCTTGTCAAAAGGGCCACTAACTTGAGCTTCAGCCTAACATTTTAGAATATTAGAGCTCAAAGGAACCTGAGTTTCTTCGATGGTAAGATAAAGGTGTTGTGATAATAGCGGATCTCTTAAGGCCCAGGAAGGTTGCAGTTTGCTATAAATGACATTATCAGATATTGGCAAGTTCGACGTTAGAGCCCAGGTCGTCAGACTTCCATTCCCTAGTGCTCTTTCCAGTCCTCCTGACAACTGCCCTGGACATCGGAAGGCCTGTCCCATTTATTTACTCTAAAGTTTCTTAAGTTAGGTGACTATGGGGATTTGGAGAGGATTTAAACTTATGATTTGAATTTAAACTTAGGGATCTTGAAACTCATCACTAGTTATTAGATGAGGATGGTTGTTAGATATGAAAGTGGTGTTTGGGATGAAAAAAGCCCTTTAGATTGCTATTAGCTAAAGTATTTTCTGTAAGTTCCACTTGCTACTTTATATGTTACTATTAGTACCACGAGAGTGATGAGAGAAAAATGTGTACATAACTGTCACTTTACCAGGAACTTGGAGTTTTGAAGTAGTCTGGTACTTTTTATTGCTTCTGAGTAGGACCAGGTCAGAGAGCCTTTCTGAACCTGTTGCATTTTTTTTTTTTTTGGTAATATGAAGATAATATTATCTATTACACAGTTATTTTGAAGGTTGAGTAAAGTGTGTAAGCCCACTTTATAAGCTGTAAATTGCTTTTGTTCAAATATTGATTCACTTGCTCCCTTGTAATACTTATAATAATACTGAAGATATTTCTTTTACTCCTCTCTCCCTTAGCAGATCTTCCCTGTAACCACCCACACCATCACCACAGATTCTTTACAAGCTACTGTTATAAATGGCTCCTTCTCATTGGATAAGCTTTAGAGCCAGAGCCCTGGCTGATTCATTGTTAAATGTATTTAGTATCAGGTTATTTGTTTTTTGTTCATTTAGTGCAAGTTCTGTAAGTTATTTTGATCTAAATCTTAAAATGTATAACATCAGGAGTTACGTGTGATGTATTCTTTTCAGGGACAAGAAAATGCTCTGTTTAGCTTGAAGAGGTTGGTTTTCTTTGCTGATTAACACCGTGTCACTTTACTTAATGTGGTTTCACATTTCCGTGTAGGGAATCCTGGAAGAAAAACCCTGCCACCAAACATGTTTTCTCATGGACTCTGCAACAGGTCACCCGACCCTGGCTGAATGAACATCTGGAGAGGGTACTCCCCCCATCACTGCTCATCTCGGATGACTATCAAACTGAGAACAAAACACTTGGTGTGCACTGCCTCCATCACATTGTGCTGAATGTGGTAAGCAGCCTCTGCAGTCGGCCATCTGTGTGGATGGGACAGATTGAGGCATCATGATACCATTTTATTGTTGTCTTTTTTATCTTTTATTAGCTTCCTATTAATGTTATGTGACTAAATTCGCTTATTTATATTTTTTTCTGTATATTTTCCTTCTGCCAACCTAGTAGATTGTACCTCATCGGTAACACCTGGACCATTATCCTGCATGTCAAACTGAATAACCAGACCTTGAGTAATTAACAGTTGACTTTCAAGGAGCAAAAAAAATCAGAAACTGAAAGAGGTTTTATCCAAATATGCAAGCCATTATTATATTACTCAAGGAAACTTTTTTTTTAACTGTGTATTTTGGAGCTTTTAAAATATACACAGAAGTAGAGAGTGGTATAATGAATCCTATGGCATGATAGATTCTGTGTATCCATACTTCAGTTTCAAAAATTACCAACATTGGGTGCCTGGGTGGCTCAGTCGGTTAAGCGTCTGCCTTCGGCTCAGGTCGTGATCTCAGGGTCCTGGGATCGAGTCCTGCACAGGGCTCCCTGCCTCTGCTCCTCCCTGCTGCTTGGGTGCACACGCTCGTGCTCTCGCTCTTTCACAAAAATAAATCTTTAAAAAAAAATCAACATTTTGGCAGCCTTGGGAAAATTTTAATTGGGTAATTTGTCTGCTTGCAGCCGGCTGCTGATTTGCTCCAGTATAACAGAGCCCAGGTCCTCTACCATGCCCTTTTCAACCACCTGTACACACCAGAGTACAACCTCATTCAGGTAATTGTAATTTTTGTTTATAACTGTGAATCTCAGTTCTCAAATTTGAGTAGAAGGTGGTATTACGTGAATAAGAATAGTTGAGACATTTTCCTCTTTTGGAAGGTGAGGATGATAGTCGACTAAGTTATAGCCAACTTGAAAATAAAGAGGTAGCAAATGACTAGTGAAAATGCCTCAGTACTGAGCAGGCATCCACATTTCTGAGTCTCCACAGAAGAGCCAGTGTTTTTTCTTCATCTGGGTCAATTCTATATCACTTGAGGGCGGCTTTGTCTGAAAAGTTCTATTTTTATTAACTTGTGTCCTTCTCTGCCTCTTTGTATCAACACACACTTGAAACTCTTTGTAAGTTGGGTATTATAGTGCCATTCTTCCTTCCCAAAGACACTGAGTATCTACTGTGTGTGAGTAACCATTGTAAGTTCCAAGAGTGAATGGATCAGACAGGGTTTCTGGCTTTCAGAAACCCTTTGGAAAGACATGTAAATAAATGAGTATTTATACATGTCTGTAGTACAGGGTGATAAATCTATTAAGAAGAGGTTTGTATAGAATGCAGTGGGTGTCCAGCAAAGGGTGGCTAACCAGGTTTGGTGGTGGTTGGGATGGTTTTAGGAGGATTTAGGAAGGAGGTGATATTTGAAGGATGAACAGAAGTTTTTTAGGATGGGCAAGAACATTCTGAAGGCAGAAGAAACAAGTTATATAAAATCAGAGGTAGAAATAGCCTCTTTTTTTAATGCTTGTCCTCCCTTCCCCTCTCCCCCCAGCCACCTTTCTTTTTAAATATTAAGTATTAAATTGAGAATCCAGGTATTGACAGCCAAAATTTTAGGGCTCCTTAGATGATGGTTTACAAACAAAACAAAACTAAGAGGAAAAAAAAAATCCCAAGAGAGCTAGAAGGGAGTGCTTAGATACTGAAACTTCACATAGGGTGGTCAGACTGGACACAAATGAGGACCATTGTAGATTCTTTTTTTTTTTTTTTTAAGATTTTATTTATTTATTTGACAGAGAGCGAGAGAGGGAACACAAGTAGGGGGAGTGGGAGAGGGAGAAGCAGGCTTCCCACTGAGCAGGGAGCCCGATGTGGGGCTCAATCCCAGAACCCTGGGATCATGACCTGAGCCGAAGGCAGACGCTTAACGACTGAGCCACCCAGGCGCCCCCCATCGTAGATTCTTTGTAGGAGCAGTTTTATTGTATGTGTAACTATCAATTTAATTTAGAAATTTAGTGGCAATAGACTTAGACTCCTATAATTTCGGTTCAAGTCCCAGCTGTGCCCATAAGGTCCCATTTCATAGCTTAGCAAAGAACAGTCTGGAAGAGGAGGTGTTAGGGGCGCCTGGGTGGCTCAGTCGTTAAGCATCTGCCTCCGGCTCAGGTCATGATCCCAGGGTCCTGGGATCGAGCCCCACACATCGGGCTCCCTGCTCAGTGGGAGGCCTGCTTCTCCCTCTCCCACTCCCCCCTGCTTGGGTGTTAACTTGTTTGGAGATGATGTAAAACAAGCTTGAAAATATAAAGTAATATACACTTCATGTATTACTGGTATCTTTCAGAATTCTATCACACGGACCCCAAGGATAGATTAATGAAGTTGCTAGACCAGTCAGCGAATGTGAATGCAAACGGACGAACAGTTCTATTACTTCCTCCTAGGCTGTGCTCCTGTGTCTGCTGGATTTATTCCCTGTCCTTGAGAAAGGCCTGCACTGGAAGGGAGGTGCTGCTCGACCCACCACGCACTGTGATGAGGTACTGCAGTTGATCCTGACCCACATGGAGCCGGAGCACCGCCTTCTCTTACGCAGGACCTACGCGAGAAACCTCCCAGCATTTGTGAAGAGGCGAGTGCCTGGGCTGCTGGTCCGGCCGACTCTTCATCTCCTTGGTGCCACGTTTTCTCTTTCCTTTTTAGGTTGGGGATTCTAACTGTCCGGCACTTAAAGAGGCTGGAGCGAGTCATCATTGGTTATCTGGAGGTTTATGATGGACCAGAGGAGGAGGCTAGATTGAAGATTCTGGAAACTCTAAAACTTCTCATGCAGTATGCATGGCCCAGGTAAAACAGCCAAGCAGGCAGGCGTGCCAAGAGGGGCAGAACTCAGCCAGTATTCTCTTCAGAAATTGCCCAGGTGTACTTTCAGTACAAAGTCTTAAGGACATGCTTTATATTTGAATATCTCCCATTTTTACATTTCTATTGGATATTGAACTGCGGAAGTCACATTGAAAAGATAAAATATACCCGTTGTTACTGCAGGGATCTCTCTCTCTAGGTTTATAGTGTATATTAGAATTTCAAAGGCTATTTAGAAGTGATACAATGCTTAACTTTGTTCACCCCAAAGTTTTTTAAATCTAATTGAGAACAGAGAACTTCATAACACATTACTTGAACATCTGCAGAGCAGTGACCAGGAGAATACTAATTGAAGATGATTGCCTAGAAAGCATTCCAACTCTGGCTGGAGGTTGGTGTCAGGAACAATAAACTGGAACCCAGACACGTTTTGTCAGCAAATACTTTCTTGCATGGACAACAAAGTTTAATTCACCTAGGAGTCCAGTGCTCCAAAAACATCTCCATCTGTTCTGAACCATAATACTCTTGATTTCCTTAGAAGGTTCCCAAAGTCTTTACCCTTAGTTTTGTCTGTTACTGGACTGTCTTTGTTTACTTCCGGTCTTTTTTCCCTGCTGAGCTGTAAGCCCACTCTAGGATACTGAGTATACAAGTTTTCTCAGTACTTGGTTATTACGTACACAAATATTAGAAGAATGAACGGACTAGAACAGACTGAATGGATGGCAGGCCCAAGTAGGAAGGTTAGAAAAGGAATGCCTGTATGGAAGGAGCGGGGCTGGGAAGTGGGAAACAGCAGGTTTTATGTTGATGACAGGAAAGCTGAGCAGCAAACAACGTAGGAAACAGGCTTAATATTTACTAAATCGAGGGATGCAAACTTTTATTCTTCCAGTCACATTTCTGCCCAGAAATATGGTTTAGTATGCATATTTTCCCACTACAAATTATTTTTCAGCTCTGATTAAGGTTTTTAAGGTTTTTTTTATATAAAAAAAAAAGTACAGGGGCGCCTGGGTGGCTCAGCTGTTAAGCGTCTGCCTTCGGCTCAGGTCATGATCCCAGGGTCCTGGGATCGAGCTCCGCATCGGGCTCCCTGCTCTGCGGGAAGCCTGCTTCTCCCTCTCCCACTCCCCCTGCTTGTGTTCCCTCTCTTGCTGTGTCTGTCAAATAAAATCTTCAAAAAAAAAAAAAAGTATACAATTTACCATTTAAAAGTGGACTCAGTGACATTAAGTACCTTCACAATTTTGTACAACCATCACCACTATCCTTTTCCAGATCTTTTTTTTTGTCAAGATAAAAACTTTCAGAAAGGCTAATAAGTTGAAGTAAATAGGCTGGGCTTAACTGATGGTAAGCTAGGATCTGGAACTAAAGGACAGGAAATTCTAATTGACAGTGAGGTCCCCGAAACCAAGTTTCTTTCTCTCACTTTAATTTCCAGGCCCAATGCCAGGGTGGCTCAGTCGTTAAGTGTCAGCCTTCAGCTCAGGTCATTGATCCCAGGGTCCTGGGATTGAGCCCCACTCATCGGGCTCCCTGCTCAGTGGGAAGCCTGCTTCTCCCTCTCCCACTCCCCCTGCTCTCGTTATCTCTATCAAATAAATAAATAAAATCTTTAAAAAAAATTTCCAGGCCCAGGACTACATAAAAGTTAAAAGTATTGTGGACCATTTCCTCTTCTCTGGCCTAAAGTCTAAGCCCCTGGTAAGGGGAGATCCCAGTTCTTCCTTTTCAGGAGGGATTATTTCCTTACAGTAGAACCAAGCTTCTGGAAGGGAGCAAGGTATTTAGGCCAGAGTGTGTATATGGGTACACACTATGCTGCAGAGAAAAAGAGGGGCTCGCAGTTAAGAAATCTGGTGTCTGGTCTCTAGTTCTGCTTCTAGCACTTTAGTTCCTTCCTTTAGGAAATGAGGGCTTTACAATTTAGATGGCCTTTGAAATCTGTTTTAATATCCTGATTTAGAGAATGAACATAACTTTTTCTTCTTGATTCCAGAATTTCCTGTAGACTTGTGGTCTTACTGAAGGCTCTCCTGAAACTGATATGCGATGTAGCAAGGGATCCAAACCTTACACCCGAGCCTGTTAAGAACACCTTATTAGAGGAAGCCACAGATTGCCTGATTCTCCTGGACCACTGTTCTCAAGGACAGGTGAAGGTAAGAGAGTCTGTAACCTGGTCCTTAAGTAATTCCTATGACTGATAATTACTGTTCACATGCCTGACCAAGTTTGTAAATGAACATGGAGGGTTCAGGTTCCCACCTTGGAGACCACTAGCCTTCAACAGAGGTTGATTATTTTTCTTTTAAAGCTCTTCAGAATTTAGACCAAAGGTAAGGTCTCTGGGGTGAGGACAGAAAATGCACAAAAGATTAAGAGTTTATAAAACTTAAGTTCTGTTTTAGTCTGAATTTTTTTTTTAAATGGTGAAATAATGAGCTATAAACCACCAAGGAGTAATAATATGAGTGATTCAGATCGATCCCAGAAATGTTTCCAGTTTTTCCAGGGCAACTGTATTTTTCCATATCCACATGGGAGTTCTTCCTTTAGTTTCATATTCCACAAAAGTTAACTTCTCAAAGCCAAAGCATATAATAGCTATGTGTGTATATTTATATATATTTAATAAACTATTGCCTCATTTCTTCCATTTAGAAATCTTCAATTTAAATTTATAAAGCAGCGTGAAAAGAAATTCATATCCTAAAAGTATTTAGAAATACTGTAGTTTGTTATCAGCTTATTCAAATTACTTTGTGTTGGCTCTTTCATCTCAGGCAGTTTTCGAGCCCCTGGATCCAATCTGATTTGCATTGGCTGGTATTAACTCGCTTCTTCCTGAGCCAGCAGGACCCTTCCATGTACACCAACACTGTTTTTAACGTTAACATCTGTTCCACAAACTGCTGTCTAGTCTTGTCTGTTCATCCTTTCTTTGAGTATGGTACCAAGAAAGAAGAACCAAGGTAAAATGAAAAGAAATATCAATTAAAAAAAAAATCAAAGCCGATTTGGTTTCATGTTTCAGGGTCTCCTGGTCAAAATTCTCCAAAGCTGTGAAGACAGCAAGGTGGTGAACTGTATCAGAAAAGTGCAGCAGGTGTCTGAAGGCGCGTCCTGCGATGGAACTTAAATTTGTCTTTCCTACAGCAGGAAGGCTTCTTGGTCCAACTGTGTAAATGGAATTGTTTAAGAAAAAAGGTATTTTCACACTAAACATTATAACTTAGACCTTCTTTGTCCTTCTTTTATTCCCACAGAAGTAGGGAAAAGAGAACAAGAAAAAAAATGAAGTCTGGACATTTCTAAATAAAGTTGGGGGGTGGGGGGGCAGACGCCAAGGAAACGGGTGGATAGCATTTAAAATTTAGAAATATTTACACCCACAAATTCATCTGTTAAGCTTCTTGGGCTCAAGCTGTTACTTCAAAGCATATGCCAACACTATAAAAATACTCTGTTCACAACTTAAGGCTTCCTCCGCTCCCTCCCAGATTTTGTGCCCCACAGAAGTAGCATAAATATTAAAAACACAAATATTGTGTTAAGTACCATATGAAAGAGCAAAAACTGGAGGTGTGCCCGCTTATGGTAAAAGAAAGGAGGATGCTGAAAGTGTTCAGTCCTATTTATAAATGTCTGAAGAAAAGTCACGTTGTTTTGGCCTTGGCCACAGGCTCTGTCTCCTGCTCATACTCTATCTCCACATAGGCTCGTTTTCTCTGCAAGGGTCCTTTCAAGGGTGTTTTGCCTTTATGTCTGGTATCAAGGGCCTTTTCTTCTTCCTCGATGGAGGATTTATCATCCTGATCTTCATCACTGCTGGCATCCAGTTTATCCATATCCTGATACAGAGAGGAAAAGAAAAGAGAAAATTCATCTCCCAAACTCCTTTCATTGTACTCTCAATTTAGACCCAGAGAATTTATCTGCTGGTGTGTTCAGAAACTTTCTTTTCCCTGAAGGCCCAAAATCTCACCTCAAAATCACTTATGTCACTCTCATCCACCTCATCATCTTCCACAAACTCTCTCTTCCCCACATCCTAAAAAAACACAGAGCTGTTAAGTTCAAAATACAGAATGAAAATTCAGCTTACACATCTAGTTTTATTCTCTGATAAGTGCATAAATAACAAACAGATTCACAGTCTACTTACTAGGCTCAACCAAAATCTACTTATTTCCAAGTTTAATACTTCTGATTTAAAAACATTTCAGGGACATCAATTCTCATGCCTAACAAAAATCATCAGAGGTAAAACATCCTCATTTTAATTTGTTAAAAAAAATCAGTATATAGGTAGGGCTTTACAAACAATTCTGTACATTTAATTAAACCTATTAATTTCAAATATCAAAAAAGGGTTACTACTAGGAAAAGTACACCTATGGGGACGCCTGGGTGGCTCGGTTGTTAAGCATCTACCTTCGGCTCAGGTCATGATACTAGGGTCCTGGGATCTAGCCCCACATCGGGCTCCCTGCTCAGCAGGAAGCCTGCTTCTCCCTCTCCCACTCCCCCTGCTTGTGTTCCCTCTCTTGCTGTCTGTCAAATACATAAAATCTTAAAAAAAAAAAAGTACACCTATGTGCCTATTTGAGTGTACCATGTGATTAAGCAACTACTTGGTAAATCTGGCCTTTTCCTAAAAATACAATCATTCCAGTACCTCCCCTATATTAATAGTGAAATTAAATCCTGTATAAATTTCAGTAGGTTCCTTAATGGTATATTCTATCAGCTAATGAGGATTCTTCATTTGTCCCCTTGCAGGAAAAATTTTAGAATACCAATAAGTAAGATTAAAATTGTCAATGTGTAGTTTGTTGGCTGAACTAAAATTAACCTCATGATAGAAAAAAATGACCAAAGAATTATTTTTGGTTAGGGGAATGAAAATGATATTCTCTCGAGTACACGTAAAGAGATCTAGTTCTACAGATTACTGCTTGATGAAGCAAAAACAAACAAACAAGGCTTACTTCTTCATCTTCGTCATCTTTTTCCTCAGAATCTGAAGAGTCACTCTCTGCCTCCTGCTGTTCCAGGGCCTTGTCGAAGGCATGAATGGGGAAGTTGTAGATGTCGCCATACTGAAGGACAGAAACACACACCAGCTTTAATGACATCTCAATTTTACACTTGAAGTCCACTGTCCAATAAGCATATTCCTCAGTGATTAAATGAGAATACTTAATTCGATAAGTAGTAATATTTCTGTATTAATTTCAAGCCTAGAACCGACAACGTCTTTAAAAGCACATTTTAAATAATCAGTGGTTAAAATCAAACAGGTAACTTCCATGAAGAATAGAAGCACATCACTTAAAACTTAGTAGTGTATAAAACCCATGGGTTGGAACAAACGTAAATTTGCTGGCAGGAAGGAAATGATAAGGAAAAAGTAAGTTTTATTCATCTGTCTTTTAAATGACACTAATTTTTAAAAAGAGAATTAAAAACTCATTTTGAAGAACCTTAGAAGACTAGGGTAATATGCAGGAGGATCAGAACTGCATGCCTTTATACAGAGATCTGGAACTAAAATGGAGAAGCCAAGGCCTATATATTTGTTTTATTCCAGGAACAAAATCAAAGTGAAGCTCTTTCCAGCATCTTTGAAAATAAAACACATTTCCCCACTATTTCCTAGCATGATATTATTGGTCTAAAAAATAAAATTTACATCCCAAAGTTCCTGGCTTTCTCACCGTATCTTGTTTCAGTCTCTCTAGCAATTCCTTTTCAATAGCATTATCCAGCTGAGCAGCTATTAATGCCTTTTCCTGTAATAGAAAAATTTGAGTTAACCCATTTACTTCATTAATACTCATTTTCAGCCTGTAGAAGTGGAAGAAACCAAGTTTTTATTTAAAAAAAAAAAAAATCACTTTTTTTCCCCCCTCTTGCTATCACTGGGACTCATGCCTCTCCAGCCAGATATATTCCTGCTTTCAAACTTTGGGAACCTTTTAAATTTAAAAATTCCAATGGTTTTATAAACAGCATTTTAAATTAAATTCTAATGAAGCCTTTCATAGATACACAAAGCATGTAGGTCTATATACATTTAAGTGTCTTAGAAAATGAACAATCCTGGGGTGCCTGGGTGGCTCAGTCAGTAAAGCATCTGCCTTCAGCTCAGGTCATGATCCCAGGGTCCTGGGATTGAACCCCGCATCGGGCTCCCTGCTCAGTGGGGGGATCTGCTGCTCCCTCTCCTGCTCCCCCTGCTTTTGCGCCCTGTCAAATAAATAAATCTTTAAAAAAACCCACAAGAAAACGACCAATCCTGAAACAGATTTTGTAAAAGCTGAGAAAGGGAAATTGAGACTTTGACTCCTACTTTTTCTAAAACCATGTTAGATTCCATGTGACAGAAAAATAGATTAAAAATCTCTTCCTCCAGTGATCGCATCAAAAACGATAATGATACATGGTATCAAACTACCACCCACAACCAAAACATAAAAATCTAACCTCAATCTATCTTTCTCGCCTAAGACTGCATTAATTTAATAGTAAAGATCATAAAATTTTAAAGTCTTACTGGGGCACATGAGCAGTTAAAAGGCTATCGTGATGTTCTGTACTGTTCTCTAAAGTGGGTGCTCACACCTCAAGGGCGATCCACTGAGATGCAGGCAGAAAATAGTCAAAACTGCTGCGTATGTATTTTTTCTTTAAAAATTAAGTTATATTTTTTTATGCATAATAACACTGGTACCTTAACTCTGGCCATAAAGCAAATAGCTGTGTGTCCGATACAGTGAGGAAGATAACCTGAGGGAAAAATACTGTCCAGAGTCTGAAAGTGGGGATCTCACTACTTTATTCACATGATTACAGCATACAGCAGTTGATGTTTGCTTAAGTGGGTTTATAGATACTGAATACTTTGCAATACCACAGGCCGAGTTATAAAGGTATACTATTTAATTGTTTAGTACTTAAAAAGAATTGTACAACTTAAAAGAATTATGCATTTTTCACAAAAAGAAAAATGTTCCGAATTTTTCAGGATGACAAATGACTGTAATATGTAACAACAGAAGCTTTAAAAAATACACTTACTCCATTCTTTCAAGAGAAAAGCAATATTTTAACAGTTTAAAATGTTTTTAAACTTGTTCTGTGGATAGAACATTTGAAAAAGGAAAGTGATAACATTTATAAGTGACATTGTGAAAACATATGTCTCCCATAAATCACATACTCAAACAATCTGGAAACATAATTTTCCAGCTGATTTAAAAATCTTCCAAATCGACATTTTTCAGAAGGCTTCAAACTTATTTGGTAAAATCAGAACAACTTAATTTCCTCTGAAAGGCTTGCAAGAACACCTGTTTAGCAATCCGGGAAGAAACAAACTCACTAGCTAGATCTGAATAAAAACCTCTGCAAAATTGCTGATGAAGAATGAAAAATGCAGAGCCAGTACTTAATGTAAACTATCAATGATTCACTTCTTGATGTGTCTCTGAGGTACCTATCAGTTATGAGAGCCCTTAAAAACAAATTTCTTCTCTGCAAAGAACCAGACCTTCATTTCACTAGATCAGTAATAGGTATGTTAATTATAATATACCTATTAGTGAAAGTATACATGTATAATAACATTTATAAATAATATACCAGGGAGCATATGTTCAAAAATTTCTCTGGTGAGAAATCAAAACAGTTTGGAGACCAATGCTATAACAGATTTGAAGTCCAAAACTCTGTATGAGTGATAGGAACAAAAGCACCAAATTATTAAAGTGATTTCTTGATAGAATATGACAAATGATCAGGGAAATGTCTGTTGGTAGAGGGGAAGTATGCAGAGCAAATACCCAGAATAACTGAAAATTTGAACTTGTGAGGAAAAGTAATTCCTAGGTCTTGAAAAGCAGAAGAAAAGTCACCTTGAATGAGGTACCAGTGAGGTGGACAGGCAGACTGCTCTCTGCAAGAAAGGCTGGCATTTCCTGACTAGATTTTCCATGGATAGCATGGTATTACCATCACTATTCATTAATCTGGTAACAAAGCTGTGCAGTTTACTTCAAAGAAACCAATAATCCCAATCAATTCCTTATAACTAATTTCAAAATCCAAAAAACTCAATTTAGTGGCGTAATATGACCTGAACTGACATAAGGCTCCTTAAAAAGTTTTTTGAAATTCCATCTAGTGTGAACCTTCTTATATTTCACTGCAGAGCTACTAGTGTATCTGATTAGAATGCTCAAACCCTGGGGACCCAAATAAACAAAATTACTAATGAAAGAGGAGAAATAACAACCAACACCATAGAAATACAAACAAATGTAACAGAGTATTGTAAAAACCTATATGCCAACATTTGGACAACTTAGTATGAAATGGATAAATTTCTAGAAACCTATAACCCACCATAACTAAAACAGGAAGAAACAGAAAATTTGAACAGACCAATTAGCCAGCAATGAAATGGAATCAATAATCAAAATGCTCCCCAAAAACAAAAGGCCAAGACCAGATGGCTCCATAGGCAAATTCTCCCGAACATTTAAAGAAGAGTTAATACCCATTCTTCTCAAACTATTCCAAAAAACACAAGAGGAAGGAAAACTTCTAAATTCATTCTATGAGGCCAGTATTACCTTGATACCAAAACCAAAGACACTACCAAAAAAGAGAACTACAGGCCAATATCTCTCATGAATTCAAATGCAAAAATCCTCAACAAGATATTAGCAAACCGAATCCAACAATATATTAAAAAAATCATATACCATGATCAAGTGGGATTTATTTCCAGGATGCAAGCGTGGTTCAATATTCACAAAACAATCAATGTGATATATTACACCATTCAGAGAAAGGATAAAGACCACAGGATCATTTCAACAGATGCAGAAAAAGCATTTGCCAAACATCCGTTCTTGATAAAAACTCTCTGCAAGGTAGGTCTAGAGGGGACATATCTCAACATAATACAGTCCTTATATGAAAAACCTACAGCCAAAATCATCCTCAGTGGGGAAAGACAGAGCTTTTCCCCTAAGGTCAGGAACAAGGCAGGGATGTCCACTCTCACCACTTTTATTCAACATGGTACTGGAAGTCCTAGCCATAGCAGTTAGACAACACAAAGAAATAAAAGGCATCCAAATTGGTAAGGAAGACGTAAAATGTTCACTGTATGCAGATGACATGATACTATAAATAGAAAACCCTAGAGACTCCACCAGAAAACTGCTAGAACTGATAAATGAATGCAGTAAAGTCGCAGGATACAAAATCAGTGTACAGAAATCTGTTTCATTCCTACACACTAATAATGAAGCAGCAGAAAGTGAAATAAAACAATCCCATTTACAACTGCATGAAAAACAATAAAATATCTAAGGATAAACTTAACCCAAGAGGTGAAAGACCTGTATTTTGTAAACAGTGATGAAAGAAATTCAAAAGGATGCAAAGAAACGGGAAGACATTCCATTCCATGCTCGTGGGATGGAAGAGCAAATACTGAATGTCCATAGTACCCAACGCAATCTACACATTAAATGCAATCTCTATCAAAATACCATCAACATTTTTCACAGAAGTAAAACAAACAATCCTAAAATCTGTATGGAACCACAAAAAACCTCGAATAGGCAAAGCAATCTTGAAAAAGAAAAAACTGGAGGTGTCCCAGGCGTCTGGGTGGCTCAGTTGGTTGGGCGACTGCCTTCGGCTCAGGTCATGATCCTGGAGTCCCTGGATCGAGTCCCGCATCGGGCTCCCTGCTCGGCAGGGAGCCTGCTTCTGCCTCTGACCTTCCCCCCTCTCATGTGCTCTCTCTCTCTCATTCTCTCTGTCTCAAATAAATAAATAAAATCTTTATTAAAAAAAAACAAAAAAAAAACCCAAACTGGAGGTGTCCCAAGTCCAGATTTCAAGTTATATTACAAAGCTGTAGTAATTAAAACAGAATGGTACGGGCATAAAAAGAGACACATAAATCAATGGAACAGAACAGAAAACCCAGAAATAAACTCACAATTACATTGTCAATTAATCTTTGACAAAGGAGAGATGAATATACAATGGGAAAAAGACAGTCTCTTCAACAAATAGTACTGGGAAAACTGGACAACCACAGGCAAAAGAATGAAATTGGACCACTTTCTTTCACCA